GTTGACTCCCCCCCCCCCCCCGGCAAACCGAATGGCTATCTCAGAGCAGAAACCTGCTTTCTCTGACCCTCTGGCACATTTTATAGCCATGCTCCCTAAGCTTCGGAGTCTCGTGAGCAAAAATTCTACTTTGTGAACTACTGGCATTAAAGTTGTGAGCAAGCGATTTGACTACTGCATAAATTAGTTTGCTCTGGAGCCATCCTTCCTGAGCGAAGACAAAAATGTGTGAGCTGGCGGCTAAAAAACTGTAAGGTAGCTCACACTAACTCATCTTAGAGAAAACACTGTTTATAGCCCTTCTTCTTGTGCAAATAAACCATTGCCATGGTCTCAGTGCTCCAAAGCATCCTACTATCTGAATTCACAAGTTTTCACCTTGAAACTACCACCACTGGAGGACTGGGTAAGCTGCAAGCCTCCCTGAGGTTAAAGGGTCTTTCACAACTGCATTAACTTGCTTCTCAAGCAGTAATGCTGGGTGGAATATAATCCCAAGGCTCTTAACTGAATCAGCAACAGTCAGGTGGACCCAATCAAAAGTGGGAAGCATGTCCTTCAAAACCAGTTTGGTCACATGAGCCATCTAACCACAGCAGTGGCTCAAGACCTCTATTCCCCTTACTACCCAGTCCTCTCCTTAGCCCACCCCGTAGACTAGTCTTATCTAAACTATATTTATAGAGCAGTTTTACTTTACATAAAGATAATAAAACAATACTTGTAGTTGATTACAACACCCCCTGGTGGAACAAAGACTCACGTGGCTATGAACATAGATTATATGAGTGGTATCAAGCCACATTAGCGTGGATATTGGTTGCTAAAGGTAGATTCATCACCAACAGAATTTTCTCCAAGAACCAGAATCATATGACTTGACTTTTTTTTTTTTTTAAATCAACACTTAATGTTCATTTGGAATGTGTACTGTACGCTGGCAAGTTAAGCCTATCTTGATGCAAACAGGAACAGGACTTATATTAGATAGCTTTTTCTGACAAAGGTTTTTGACAGGAACTCTTTCACCAGGTGATAATCTACACCTTCTCATTTCTTCCCAGCTGGTAAAGGTATAGACTGGATCCCTGCCAAGAAAAATGGTTCTTTGTTCTGTGCTGTAAAAAATCTTTCGTTCAGGTGGTAGAGGTCTACAGGAATCTTCCAAGAGACAGTTAGGGACAGCTTAGAAGTAGATAGCACAGTGACCTTGCCAGAGCTAAATTGTTTTCAGCCAGGGTAGTACCAACCACCCTTGGAGCTCCCAATTAGCACATTCCAAGCAATTGAACTATAGATACCTGTGGGGCAGCAGGGACAGACCTAGCTGCAGTATGGCTTCATTTATCTCCCACTCTCTTGTCCATCCTTGGATGTCACGTGCCTAGCAACTAGTTACATCACCTCTCGGGTATCTCATAGGTCCAACAGCTGAGGACCAGTCAGAGACCCTTTCCCTATAAATCTAAGACCTCAAACTATAGTACAGAGCTTGTGACTACTTGACATGACATGTCAGTGGTTCAAGAGCTCCCAGAATGGCAGCCCACTTATTCCTGCCTGAACTGGCTAAAGTTGTGAACATCTTGGCCTGCTGGAACTGACTGCCTCTGTTGAACCTTGAATGGTAACTGGAACCTTGTTTCTGTATGTTTAACTATGCTGGAAAATCCTAGGTTTAACTGTTTTACTCCTTCACTGTCTAGTTGTTTTAAATATTTTTGCACCTTAAATACTTATATTTTCACTCTGTCATGGTTTTTGCCTTCAATAACCTCAAAGCCTTAATCCAGAGCCTTGGCTCTTGACTGCCTACCAGTTAACTGTCCTGGAAAGTGACTGCAGCCCCACTCTGCAGGGCTGACTTTTAAGTTCCCTGAGAAGCTGGGAGGCTTGGTCTTTCTCTCCTGGGCTGTTGGGATAGACCGAAAGACCTGGTGGCAACCCACCAAGACTAGGGTGAGTTTTAGAGTCTATCTGGTACATCGTAACTCTGCTTTGTGATGTACTCCCCTTGTACCAAAAGTCCTTACCTGGGGCCTGGGACTTTTGACACATTGCATTTGGTAGTCTCCTGTATTTTGTATCTGATCACTGCACAGGTTCCAAGGCCAGCAAATGTGACCACCGTACCTGCTTTTTAAAAATTCAGTATTTATTTAGACAAGTATTGTGCAGTTTCCATTCAGGCTCATGGTTTAAAATACAACAAACATTAGAATTTAGTTACAGGGCCAAACTTGAGCAGAGGTCCTGTGCTTTTGGCAGGTGCACAGTAGGCAAATCACCACAGGAAGGATTTTTTTTTTAGTGGGAGCATGCTGTAATAAGAAAGCTTTATCTTATGTTTTGTGTTGTCCAAAGTAGGCAACCGTTTTCTTTTGTAGTTTTATTTCAACTTCATGCACAAGGGGGGGAAAAAAAACATTGACAAGGATTGAGTTATACACCATTTTAAATTCAACTTTATTAAGTATTTTTACAAAAGAAGCTGAAGGGTTCTCTCCAAAGCAGACTAAGCTCTCAGTGAGAATTTCATTGTGTGGATCATTTTGCCAAGACATTGCTAGGGCTGCTTCAGTTCTGCAAGGGTTGAGTAGGCAGCCATCAGGAGATCAAGGCCTGCATGCTGTTCCAGTCTCCCAAATGCAACATGAAGAACATAAGAAAATCCTTCATTGGCAGGAAATTCAGAAAGAGGTAGAGAATACACATTTATATAAAGGACAAACAGTTCAAAAAAGAAGACAGTGAGCTCACAGGGGATGCATCCCTACAGTGAACTTTTCAAGTAGTTTCAGTTGTGACAAAGTGCTACTTCACAGTTAAAAAGGCAGTACAGAAGATCAGTGGAAGTAGTAAGAGAGTGGAGGGCTGGCTGTTGTGTCACAGACCATTTAGAAATTGAAAGCATTAGCACCATCTTGAATCTGGAAAGTATAGGCATCAGAACTAGATTCTGGAACAATATTCCCATCCTCTTCTTCCTGCAAAGAGAAACTTAAATTCTTACCACAGTGCTACAGCTGTACAAACTACTGTAGCAATCAAGATACTTGGAACCAACTGCTAGTGACAAGTCCATCTCATTGAACCATCAACTGCAATCTGACCGATAGTCAGATTTAAGAGGCAGCCAAGCATTACAATACTGTTGGCCATATTTTGCTGCATGCACACTCATGTAGCATTACATCAATAAGGGGTTACCATAAGCCCTGATGAAGCACAAAAGCACTTCACACCCACATGATCCCTTGCTAGCTCAGTGGCACAGAGCAGTCTGTCAAGCTTTGACCCACTGCCTGTAGAGCAAATGGATACTATCTGAATATTTGTTTACTTACCTCTGATGAGAAATACTTCTCAATCAGATTTGCAGCAGCTTTGTACACGTCTTCATTTTCATGAGACTGTAGAACTTCAATTTTATCCAGGCCACCACATTCCTCAACCATGATGCAAAGCTTTTCAACTTCATTGATTTTCTCAGCTGCCTACAGTGACAGTATTAGCAAGAATATTATGGTTGGGGAGGTGTGTCAGGAAATGCATTCAGATATAAACAGTCAAACATGCTCAAAATGGAAGCAAAATATCTAAGAGGGCTTCAGGTTTTGGAATTCTGACAGGTGTAGAATTCTAAGAATTCATAGAAAATATTCCTATATGCATGTGTTGTGCCAAGTTTCCTTGTTGCCCAGAAACTAATTTGATGCAAATTAAACAGTAATAATAGAAGTGCACGTGGAAGGTACATTTGCTGCTAGCCATTTAGAATTGGAACACATAGTTTGTCCTTTTACTGACTTACCGCAAAGATGTTAGTGATGGCATCGAGAATAACCAATACAGTTTTGCCGTCTTTAGCCACCAGAAGATTTAACAATGGTTCTAGCACACCAGCCTGAACAAGGTATATGATCTGACCGATTGTTCCACCACTTGTGTAGTTGGTCACAGCCCACACAGCTTCTTTCTGTGATTTGAAGTCCCCCTGTTTGAACATAGGAACAGGATTATGTATATGACCTTGGAAGTTTAGAAACTTTTGACACCTAATGTGGAAAAGACGAACATTTGGGGGAGTAACTGTCCATGCGAACACACTGCAGTATTACTGTCGCTCCTCAAAATGCTAATAACCAGTAACAAAGCTTAGTTGGGCTCTCATGCTCTACATATAGATAGGGAAGATTAAGAACATAAAAGGAAAAACTGGATTAGATTTAGATGAAGGTGGAGTGAAAATTGGTGGAATGAACATTTCTGCTACATTACTAGCAGAAAACAGCAAATACTTGAAATGACTACAGATACAGGTTAAAGTAGAAAGTGCCAAAGCAGGATTACAGCTGAACAGCAAGACAAAAGTAATGACGTCTGTGGAATTACACAATTTGAGGGTAGATTATGAAACAATTGTTAAGGATTTTCTATTCCTTGGGTCCATCATCAACCAAGGGAGACTGCAACCCAGAAATTAGAAGGAGATTGAGATTGGAAAGGGCAGCCATGAAGGAGCTAGAAAAAATCCTTAGCTGTAAGAATGTTTCACTGGTGATCAAGATATTTCATACTATAGTATCCCCCATTACTATGTATGGGTGTAAAAGCCGGCAAATGAAGAAAGTTGACAGGAAGTAGATTCAACAAGGGTTTTTAAAATCAGCAGCTTCTTAAATACACATAAGCTAGACAGAAAACTGATAATAGGCAGGGACCCTTAAGTCCTCACAATCAAGGCTGAAAGAAGGTAGCCGCATGGTAGAACAAGTGCTGTAAGCTGGTAAATACCTTTTTCAATATACTAATGAGATATGGGACAAGCCCATGGTCCACAACCATCTGGATTTGGTTCTGCCGGCCAGCTGTGATGTTAGACACGGTCCATGCTGCTTCTTTCTGGATGTTGTTTTTGTGATGAGTAAGCAGGCCAGGGAATGCAGCAAGTGCACCAGAATCTATTACAGTTTGAGTTTGTTCATCAGTACCAGTTACAATGTTCCCTATTGCTCTTAAGGAGGGTGTCTGGAAGAGAGTTTAGGACACAGAAGTTAGTGGATACAAAACTATCACCAGGACATTCATTTTATTCAACTCAGCATTTAATAAGCCCTTGCAGCATCTTTGTGGGTGCACACAGGGGTATCCAGATGATCAGACCCCTATAAATTGTCCACATGTTGGCAACATATTTTAACTAGTGCCCTATCAGTTGACCTAAAATGACACTGACATTCCTAGAAAAGAAAAACAGGATGTTTCAGTCATGGACAATAAGCTCTTGAGCCTGTCTCAATGAAGCTGCAAACTAGCATTGTGGCAGCAAGCTAATCCATGCACAAAACATTAGAGGCTTCATAGACTAGGGATGGGTATAAACCTCATCACGAACTTAATTTCATGATAAACACATTGCTGGGTTCGTGGTTCATGAACCAGAGGTTTGTGCCCATCCCTATGCCATGACCCTCCACGTGATTTTGGAGGTTCATGGTGGGAAGTATGTGTGTGGGGTGTTTCCACTGAAATGGCTTGCAAAAGCCATTTAAAGGGAAGTGATGAACTTGCCGCTTGGACTCCATTCACATTATCCCCCCCACCATCTTGCTGGTCTGTGGGAGCCACCACCAGCAGAAAGGAGGGAGGGAAGACCTCATGAACTGAACTGGTTTGTCAAACGGGCAGGTTGGGGAACATTTGTGTGACTTCACAAACTACGACCCAAGATTCCATTTTCCCAGTTTGTGCCCATCTCTATTATGGCCCACACTTCAGGGGGCTTTATGCTTTCACTGATTCCTCCCCTCCTGGATCTTGGAAAGCAAACTGCTGGGATTATCTGCACTCCCTGCTTCTATGGTGAGTGTCAACACAGTATAACAGAGTTAAGCTCTTGGACAATACTAGAGCACAGCACAGTAAATGAAACCCAAGAGCTCTAACAGTTCTTATGCAACATTAACAATATGTACTAATTTGGTTTATAGCCATCTTACCATTATTGGAATATCTCCACGTCCCAGGAGTTTCACCAGCTGTGGAACCAGTCCTGTTTTTACCACCATTTCAATCCTGTCGTTTGAACCATCAGTCAAGTAAGAAACAGCCCAGCATGTATCAGCCAGAACTTCTAAGTCATGATGATGAAGTAGGCGAACCAACGTAGGAAGGATCTGCTCAACAGCATCAAGTGGTGGTGCGGGGTTCTTGTTACGACAGAGGTTTGATAGGGTCCAGGTTACATTGCGCAAGTAACCAAGCTGAAAGTGATCATGACAGAGACTTAGAAATTTAGGCTATTGCTTAAGACATGGAGGTCCAACTAGCTGTACCAATGCTCAGACACTTACAGCTATAGAAGAGAGATCAGGAACAGCAAGCAGAGCCAACAGTGGATCCAGTGCACCGTATTTAATAACCAAGTCTCGGTAGGCAGAACCATCACCTGAAATAAGATTGTCAATCCATTAAATCCCTTCAGTTTCACAGTATGGCTGCTACAGAACTTAAGATCAATTCAAACATTGTAAGAATTGTGCAATTTCCAATGAAAAACCCTCCTATACTGAGGGTTTTTCACCAATCCAGTATCTGATTTGTTTCCAGTAAGATGTAGCTGGGTAATGCAGTGAGTATCCATGACAGTCCTACCAGATGGGAAGTCAATTAGAGAGTGGGCATCTATAGAACATCCCATTTCAACAAAGTCATTGCTTTATTTTCTCTCTGCATATGCACAATTTGCAGTAAGAGGCCAGTGATTTGCTTGCATTAGCTTACCTGCAATGTTTCCCAAAGCCCACACGGCTTGTTCACTAATATGAGTATGGGGAGAAGCTAACAGTGAAATGAAGGCAGGTACTGCTCCACCATCTACTACAGCTTTTGTCTGATCAGATGTGCCAGAAGCAATGTTGGTCAAGGCCCACGCAGATTCAAACTGAATAGGGCTCCAATCCGCTCTTCCCAAAAAGGACACAAGCTTCGGAATCAAGCCAGCTTGGATTATCTGGTCAATAGGGGGCTGCTTCTCTCTGGACAGAAGTTTCCTATAAGCAAGAACAGACTGTGTCCACTTACATTTCACAGGGTTGTAAAATGGAATTGTTCAAATGAGCATTTTTCAAAGGAAGCAGGATTGCAGTTTTAATGTCTGAATTTTTTAGTCAGATTGTACTACATTGCATATTGTATTACAGTACTGTATGACACTGTTATCTGTTTTGAGCCTCAGTAAGAAAGGCAGACTATAACTGAAATAAATTTGCAGACAGAGCCCCAAAACCTATATATGAAGAAATGGATGGGATAGATACCGTGTTTCCCCGAAAATAAGACACTGTCTTATATTTATTTTTTCTCATGAAGACACACTAGGGCTTATACCACAAAGGCATAGAAATCCTGCTATGGCTTATTTTTTGGGTAGGTCTTATTTTCGGGGAAACAGGGTAGATCCCACATTAACAGAAAGCCTTTCCCCTGTAAATACAAGAGGTCCAAGAAACAGTGAAAAAGATTCACAGAATGTCAGGGCTTTCTTGAGTAAAGAAGGTCTGAGGTGGTCACTAGCCCATTATTATTAGGGAGTGCTATTTGTCTTCTCTGCTGTTAAGTGGCAAAACAGTATTTCTCTCATCTACAGAGTATGTTGAGTCTAGAAGTAATCTAGTTTTCCCTGGAGATAGTTAAAATGTTTTATTGCCCTTCTTATTTTTTTTAAAAGCCTTTATTAGAACCACCAGTTGCTCTTT